TTGAGGGGGGGTGGGGGGGTAGGAAAAGAAAAGGGGATTGGAACTATAGACATGAAGATTGCTCGAATGGACCCTACTTTGATAGGGGTGGGGGGGTGGGGGGGTAGGATTGCAAGCAACACAACATGGAGGGGCTGAATGGCCCCTTGGGGAATTTGGGAGTCATGGAAGGTTTCCCAGGAGAGGAGCCAATCAGATTTCTGCTTTAGGCCACCTGCTGGCTGTGAGTGGAGGGTGTGTGGGAATGGGGGATGAGGAGCCAGGCCGACCAGCGGGGCAGGCAGGTGTGTGCGTGCTGTATGGTGCAGGCAAGAGCTAAGTGTGGGACAGTGATGGTGGGCCAGGAAGGAGGTCAAGGGGGCCGCAAGACTGCAGGGAGAGGAATGGGAAGATTTCAGCCTTGGGGGCTATCACAGTGTGCCGCCGTGTACGTACTGCTGAGCGACAGGGCATCGCAGGATGGATTTGAGGGTGGGCAGTTGATTTCCTTTCATTTTGCTATGGGAATTTTAAGAAATACATGTAAGATGAAAAAAGTATCGTGCGCATCTATATATCCACTACCCAGGTTCTACCATGAACATTTTACAAAACTTGTTTTAGATCTGTCCTTTCCATCAACCCATCTATCCACCCACCCATCCATCCATCTACCCATCCACACACATTTTTTTTATGTCTATCACAGTAGGTAGCAGACACCATGTCCTTCACCCATAAACATGTAAATCTGCATATCGCTACCAAGAGACCAACCTCTGTTTAAATGATCTGAGCATTTTATTTAGGTTTTAGTCTCCTTCATCCCACTGATGGACATTTGCATTCTTTTAAGCTTTGGCTCTCGCCCTGAACATTTTCCCATCTAAAACGTTGGGTGGCTTGCATGCGTTTAAGTGTGAGCTGGGACTTTGGCAGTCTGACAGGTGAAGAGTCCGGGAGGTGAGGGGCTGGAGGTGGCAGTCTGTGGGGCACCTGGGACAGGAAGGTTGAGCGGGCTCAGTGGTCCCTGTCTTGGTGCATATTACAACCACCCCAACAACTTTGACGTATTCTAAGCCCAGGCCACACCATTGCCAGTCTAGTCACCTCAGGGTAGGGCTCTGAAGCTCCCCAGACAGCTCAGAGGCACAGCCAGGATGGAACAGCATTGGGGCAGGAGGAAGAGACCCTGGGAGGCATGCAGGGAACGGCTGCCTGTAGGAGAACGGGTGGTAGGAGTGTCTGTTGACCTGAGGTGACCTTCGCACGATTTGGAATGACAGCCACTAAATGGCCATCTGCCTCTCCCTGCCTCTAGAAAAGCCGACAGAGACTTGGGTACCCTTTGAAGTGGCTGGAGGTAGGCCATCCGTGTCTGACGGTAAAAACCTTACTCCCCATGAGCAGGCTCACCCATGTCATTGGCAGAGCCCGGGACACCATGGACATCAGGAGTCCCTTTTCCAAATCCGTGGAGGACATCAAGATGGCCATACCCAGGCATCAGGACGCCTGTGACTGCTGGGCTCTGTGGGCCCCGCACAGCCTCCCCCAGACCCATGAAATGGGCCTTGCCGGCTAGGAAAGGGTTGGGTCATTTTGAGTCCACTCATTTCATTTCATTTTAAACGAGTTTTATTTTGAATTGGGTGACAGTTTACAGAGCGGAGCGGGCCACCCAACAATTCAGACACCCTTTGGTTCACGTCATTCATTACCACCCCACAGTGTAACGTCACTCATCATTCATCACGCTTGTCCTGTTTCCATTCCTCCTCTCCTAACCCTCCTGAACTTTGTCCTTGAGTAAAGGCTGCCTTTTGATCTCAGATGGTTCATTGCTCGGAGGCGCGAGTCTTTCTTTAGTGTGCTGTTCCTCTTATCGACTGGCTATTGCAGGGGTTCTCAACCTTCCTAATGCCGCGACTCTTTAACACACACAGTTCCTCATGTTGTGGTGACCCCCAACTAAAAACTTATTTTCCTTGCTACTTTATCACTATAATTTTGCTACTGTGATGAATCGGGTGACCCCTGTGAAAGGGTTGTTCGACCCCCAAAGGGATTATGAGCCACAGGTTGAGAACCACTAGTCTATTGGGTGGCTGAAAATTGAGCCACAGGGGATGAGTTTACTTCCAGGCCTGAAGGGTCACTAAGGGCCATCGTCTGGGCAGTCCCACCAGTCTCCATCCTGTAGTAAGCCTGCTCTTTCTTAGGAGTTGGAGTTTTGTTCCATGTTTTTTCCCTCTCTCTCCAGGACCTTCTAATGTGATCCCTTTCGGAGCAGTTGGAGGTGGTAGCGGGGCACCATCTAGTTCTTCTGGTCTCCGCATCTTATCCACATCGGACCCATTCCTTTCAGCCAGGAGCCTTATGGGGTTTCTGCTCTGTTTTAGTGCCTATCAACCATTACAGTGAAAAGGCGCTAACCCCGCATCCTTTTTGAAGTTTATTTTTTTCTCTAGAGATAAATAGAAATTGTTCCCAATGGCTGTTACTTCCAGCGTAGAGAATTCTTTCCCAAAACACAAATATGTATTGCCCCCATTAAAGGATGAACGGAAGCTGTAGAGATGAGAGACAACCTGCAATCAGTTATTTTATTGAAGTGGCTGGGATTGGATATGTTGCATTCCAATACTGACTGCTAGAGTTCTCAGAAAGGTGGTGTTGGTATTATACTCTAGCTTTCTCTTTCAATGCAAATAAG